ACCTTGCAATATGGCCAAACGAAATCTCCGAATATAAAGGCGGGGACTGAAGATATGCCAACTCCGAAATAAGAGGGAGCGCTTCTTGATTATTTCTCGAAACATCCACGCTGCAGGATATAGTGGATCAATGCTAAATTTCTTAAAATTTTGAGGAATCGATTTTGAATTTGATTCTAATATAAATGGATCCAAAATCTATAATCTAAAATGCATCTTCTATTATTATTTCAATAGAAAATTATTCATAATTCAAAATAGAAATTGATATTCAAATGAGGAAGTTTCATGATTACTCATTAAAGAGAGATTTATAATATTATACATGCATATATACATTATTAAAATTTCGAGTATATATATATATATATATATAATATGTATTTTACTTAAAGAGTCATATTTCTATTAATAACGAATCAATATCATGAATATCGAAATAGAAATTTCCTTCATCTATAGAAGTAGAATATTAGATATATATTAAATATTAGGATTATAATTCTCGATTTCTTTATTTCAATTATTTGAATTAGAAAAATCGAATATTCGACATAGATTGAAATATCTATATATATATATATATATATATATTTATGTATCTATATTTAATATTCAATTATAGAAAAAAGAAAAAATTGGAATTTTTCTAATAAATGAGAATTGAATCTAATATTCATTTCAATCAATTTTATGAAATATTTTTAATTTTTTTGCAATATAGAATCCTGAATCATAGTTAAAAAGTTTTTCGATGATAAATATTTATAGATATTCTATTCAAGAATTTCTGGCAAGCTTATTAGTAATTTGAAGACTATATGAAATCTATACTTGTTGGAAGGAATTGATTATTCTTATCTTAAAATTTGATAAAAATTTGGATGATCATTGAAATTTTCGTATGATCTTGAAATTGATATTATTGATATAATTTCTTGAAAATTCATCGATTTCATAGGATCTGGGGGGGGGGCAAAATCTCGTCAATTCATTTATGATCTCGGATCGGGCGTCCCCCAGCCCCCTCTCTATCCTTCTCCGATAGGAAGATGGGTCCGGGGATTGCTTTCTCTTTCTTTACGACCGGGATCTGGATAGCATAGATCTTTTCTGGGCACGAATTTCTGCCATTTTTAGATCTGCTTTCTGAATTTGGTTCATTTATTTCTATGATAACGATAATAAAAATTGATATTCATTTTCGTCTTGAAGGCAACTATTAAAAGATTATAATCGACTGATTATTAAGGGATCGGACCTATCAGGGAATGCAATCCTCGTGCCCAAAGATTCTTTGGGATTCGAGCTTCGTGAGAATCGACGTATTTGACGATATTCTACGACTCGGACGTCTTTAGGATACGATCCCCGTGATATATGACGATTTTGAGGTCCGTATCAATAAAAAAGATTTATGCGCAGTCCCATAGATTCGACTTGGGGAATGGATGGGGGGATTTTATTGGGGGGGGGGATGGCGAATCGAGATCCGGGATCATATATCTGCTTTTTTATCTATATATTTAATAGAAATAAACATAATTTGAATTCTATTAATCATAATCATATAGTATCTATGATGAATAAGATTTGAATGCTTTATCAAGGATTTTTCCATATATTTAACGAATTATCATACATTTTTAGACTATTTGCAAGATTCGACGAAGATTTGATATGTTTCTCTATATATATATATATTGTCAGCATCGAATATATGAATATTTATAGAGAGTTTTCATATCTATACAAGGAATATATATATATATATATATATATATATAGATAGGAATATATATATATATATATATATATATTTCCTAATTTCCTAAAGATTTTGAAAAGATATGAAATAGATTTATTTAAAATATCAGATATGATCTATGATCCTGGGATCAAAAATAGAAAAATAGATATAGATCAAATCCTTCAATACTATAAAAAATCCATCAATCTCCCCTTAAATCTTTTTTTTGATCCGTTCGATATCTAATATGAAATTTTCCAGTCAAATCGTTTCAAAATCTACGAGAATAGATTTCGAAATATTCCCATTCCTGCACGAGATATATGATTTAATATGGATGATTATTTTTTTCTTGGAGAGGCCAAAATAATAGATAGAGGCTCCAATTTTCATTTCTGTCATAAGATCGAGATAAAGATCCCATTGAAATCAGGGATCTTTATATTGCGGGAGAGATAAAAATTAGAGTCTATTTTTTTTGAAATCCCCCCTACCCCTTATAGCAATCATCTAGTCTACAGTATATTTCTATCAAGGGATAATTATGATATTAATCATGATTCGTATTCTCCAGCAAATATTCCTAATTATTTTTTCATAATAATAACTTACGACCGGCTATCTTATCTGAATCAATGAAAACTATTAGCAATAATCTACGCATTCATGAAATATCGGTCATGTCGATACGAAAAATATTTGGAATGACGATATATCGATCTTCGCATATTTGCGTTGATTTCGGAGCCAAGAATATCAATTCATTTCAACGACTCCGATAGCCAGAAATAAGGAAAAATTCAATATTTTTCAATGATGCTTATTTTCGTAGATTTACGAATTTCTTCCAATTTCGATATGATCAAGAGAAAATTAAGATTTATTTCTTCATTATTTTTATTATATATAAAATTCGAAATTTATATTAGGTGTCGGGAAGATCCCGATATTCCGGACGACTCCGTTGTCTAGAAATATGTAAAATTCAAAAACTTTCAAGGATGACTTCTGGCAAGAGAATATATATATATATATATATATATATATATATTCGACGATTATCGTAGATTTGCAGGTCTCTAGTGATTTCAATGTTTATAATAGAAAATTAGAAAAATTTGAACGTAAATTATTTCGCGATTGACTAGAATAGGGAGTCCTAACTAGATTCAACAAAAATTCATAATTGGTTATTATTGATTTCGATTATAATATAAATATACGAAGATCGATATATATTAGATATGAACCTTTATAATTTATTTCATATTCGAAGTATCTTTTATATCGAAATAATCGTTATTTAATTCATATATGAAGAATAAGATATCAGTTGCATTAATTTTTATACTAAATCCTAGAATAATTTTCTAAATCGATATAATTTATATTTAATACGAATATAATTCAATTTCGGAGGGAGAAGAAGAGACTTACTTGATTAAATCATCGAAGAATCATACGATCTGTCGCGCGATCGGAGAATACTACTATCAAAATACAATCGATAGATGAATTCTACTATCTTCCATGATCATTTTCGCGCCCCCATCGCGCACTTATTGCGAAAGCATGTTTTACTGTACAAATAGCCGTATATATCAACGCTGGTTCCAAGAAATTTAGATCAATTGCAAAATTAAAGGACCGGATAACCCCACATGACAGCGATACTCTGGTCAGCATCAAAGCAGTGCAAAACATAGTGATTTAGATATGTAAATATGCGTGCGCACTCCGCGTGGGTGTCCGCGCCGGTTGTGTGTGTTGTGCGTGTGAGTGTGCGTGTGCGTGTGCGTGGGCGTGTGGGTGTGGGTGTGTTGTGAGCTGTGTGCTGTGTGGTGTGTGTTGTGTGGTGTGTGTTGTGTGTTGTGTGTTGTGTGTTGTGTGTTTGTGTGTTTGTGTGTTTGTGTGTTGTGTGTGTTGTGTGTGTTGTGTGTGTGTGTGTTGTGTGTCGTTTGTGTTGTGTGTGTGTGTGTCTGTGTGTGTGTGTGTCTGTGTGTCTGTGTGTCTGTGTGTCTGTGTGTCTGTGTGTCTGTGTGTCTGTGTGTCTGTGAGTCTGTGTGTCTGTGTCTGTCTGTGTCTGTCTCTGTCTGTCTCTGTGTGTCTGTGTGTCTGTGTGTCTGTGTGTCTGTGTGTCTGTGTGTCTGTGTGTCTGTGTGTCTGTGTGTCTGTGTGTCTGTGTCTGTCTCTGTCTGTCTCTGTCTGTCTCTGTCTGTCTCTGTCTGTCTCTGTGTGTCCTGTCTGTCTGTGTCTGTCTGTGTCTGTCTGTGTCTGTCTGTGTCTGTCTGTGTCTGTCTGTGTCTGTCTGTGTCTGTCTGTGTCTGTCTGTGTCTGTCTGTGTCTGTCTGTGTCTGTCTGTGTCTGTCTGGGTCTGTCTGTGTCTGTCTGTGTCTGTCTGTGTCTGTCTGTGTCTGTCTGTGTCTGTCTGTGTCTGTCTGTGTCTGTCTCTGTCTGTCTGTCTGTCTGTGTCTGTCTGTGTCTGTCTGTGTCTGTCTGTGTCTGTCTCTGTCTGTCTCTGTCTGTCTCTGTCTGTCTCTGTCTGTCTCTGTCTGTCTCTGTCTGTCTCTGTCTGTCTCTGTCTGTCTCTGTCTGTCTCTGTCTGTCTCTGTCTTTCTCTGTCTGTCTCTGTCTGTCTCTGTCTGTCTCTGTCTTCTCTGTCTGTCTCTGTACTCTGATTCTTTTCTGTCTGTCGTGTCGTGTCGGTCTGGTGCTTTCACTCGCTACTGTCTCTCTGTCGGTCTGTCTCTCCTAGTCCGGTCTCATCTGTCTGTCTTCTCTGTCTGTCTTCACTGTCTGTCGCTCTGCTCTGTTCCTCTTCATGCTGCTTGCTCTCCGTCTGACTCTGTCGTGCCGCCGGTGACGGGCCCCGGCCTCTGAGTCCTCGGTCGTTCTCTGTCTGTCTCTGTGCCGTCTCTGTCTGTCTCTGTCTGTCTGTGTCTGTCTGTGTCTGTCTGTGTCTGTCTGTGTCTGTCTGTGTCTGTCTGTGTCTGTCTCTGTCTGTCTCTGTCTGTCTCTGTCTGTCTGTCTGTCTGTCTGTCTGTCTGTCTGTCTGTCTGTACTCGGTTTGCACAGGTTCTGCCGAGCATTCCCATTTCACCTTTGCCGACTTCCGCAGCGTGGCAGGCCAGACAGTTTCATCGTAGTGACCAAAAGAGCGTTCATTCGGACATTCTTATCATTTTAGAGCTGGTAGCGGAGCTCTGCGACCGATCGCAGGGCGATGATGCACCAGCAGGGACTCGTTGCCATGGCCCTTTTGTGCGGGCCGATCGTGCCCCTTAGCACCGGAGAAGTCACGCCAAGGGCTGATCTCTCAGCTGCTGAGGGCGAGTTCGTAAGACCCAGCCGGAACCCCGAACCGCGACACGTCGCACCGCGAGCGCTGAAAACGGATGACGAGGTCAGCGGAGGACGCGCTTGGCTGTCGGTTGCAAAGGCGAAGTTCGCAGTTGTAGTTCTGGTGGGAATCACAGTGATGTCCCTGTTTGGGTGCATGTTTCAGCCGCCGCATGGAGCCGGCGGAGGCAACAGTATTCGACTTCCCCCGAGATGGGAACCTGCCATGGAAACGACGCTTCCTTTCCGAACGTGGATGCAAGATTTGATGCTGTGGACCATTGGCACGGACCTGGCACCGCATCAGCAAGCAGTGGCGACAATCTCACAGCTTGGAGGTCCTGCGCGCGACTTGGCCAGGACGCTCACGCCAGGGGAGTTGTACAACGGCGGCGTGATCAACGGTCAAGCTTTGGATCCTGTCAGCTTTTTGCTGCACGGACTATCCTCTCGCTTCGCACCTCTTGACGAAGAAAATCGACTGCGAGCCGCACAAGATCTGCTTTCCTTTGCAAGGCGCCAGGGCGAGTCGATCGACGCGTTGATTAGCCGTTTCGATATAACCCGAGAACTTGCTCGACGCGAAGGCGGAGGAGCAGTGGCAATCGAGACAGCCACACTCATCTTGCTCAGGGCTTGCGGTGTATCGAGCGAGCAGTTCCAGTCCTTGACTCAACCATTTGGGCTAAGGCTTCCAGCCAATGATGCGGAGTTTTCCCAGTTGTGCCATCATCTTCGTCGAATGGCGCACATAGTGGAGCGCCATCCGAATAACATTGCTTCTGGACTGCGACAGACATCTCAGGCTCACTTCAGTCAGGCCAGTTACCTTGCTGAAGCAGATACAGGATCTTCTCATTCAGCTGAGCATTGGCAGCAAGGAAGTGGAGGCCTGGAGTACTCTGGCGCCGATGCGTCAAGGAACATGGACTGGGCTTTCGCCGCAGCTGTGAATGGAGCCGAAGGCTCAGGAACAGATTCTGAGACAAGCTCTGCTCTGATCGGGACGAGCCGCTTCCAGTAGAAGACCTTCAGGGTATGACGAATGGCCAAGTGGATGAGTACTTGTTTGGTCAGTACCAGCAGGCTAAGCGTAGATGGAGAAGATTCACTGGAAAGCCGGTTCGTTCCCTCCGTAGAGTTCTGAAGCGAAAGGGGAAAGGCAAAGGGAAGCGAAATAGCTTTCTCAACATAGATGGCCTCCTCCAGCAGTCGGCGTATTTCAAGGGCAAGGGTAAAGGTGGTAGTAGCTCGGGTAAAGGGTTCGGTCGTAAGCAGAATCCTTGTGGCCGTGACGGTGAACCGTTATGCTGCAGCACCTGTGGATCTGCATATCACTTGAGGGCCCGCTGCCCTCGAGGGACAGGACCGAGCAGCAGCAGTGCATCCCAGTCACAGAGGGCAGCTCAGTCATTCACCGTTGAACCGGCAGGCATGCACTTTGCAGTGTACGAATCTGAAGGCCTAGGTTCCTGGTCCCAGGTTACCCCGAGGTCACTTGCATCTAGTAGGCCCGACGGTTCTAGACATAACCCTTCAATGCCTGAAGCTACTGCGCCAGTGTTCAGTCGACCGCGTGCCGAGGAGCATCAGCTCACCCCAGATCCGTGGTCTCAGAGTGCAGACCCATGGTTGCAGTGGCTGCAAGACGAGGCCCGTCCTGCAGAGCCGAATCGGAGTTCTTTTGATTCGGGGTGGGTAGTGCCTGGCCTAGGGGATGTAGGGCGTAATCAATCCTTCATTGGTT